TCATGATCATCATCACCGTATTGTTCACGGCGGTTGGCGCGCTCTCGTATGCCACCTTTGGCGCCGAGACCAAAACGGAGATCATCAGCAACCTGCCCCGCACGGACCGCTTTGTCAATGTGCTCCAGTTCGTCTATTCGCTCGCCATCCTGGTCAGTACGCCGATCCAGCTGTTCCCCGCTGTCCGTATCCTTGAGGGCAGGCTCTTCGGCCAGAACTCAGGCAAGCGCGACCCCATGATCAAGTGGAAGAAGAATGTGTTCCGGACCGGTGCCGTGATGACCTGCGGCCTGATCGGAGCTGTGGGGGCCGGGGATCTCGATAAGTTCGTGTCGTTGATCGGGTCTTTTGCATGTGTGCCCCTGGTGTATATCTACCCGGCGTATCTGCACTGGAAGGGCGTAGCCGAGTCCCCGTGGGTCAAACGGGGCGACATCGCGATGATGGTACTGGGTGTGGTGTTCATGGTGTACACGACAAGCGCCACAGTCTCCGTCTGGCTAGAAGGATCCGCCTAGAGCGCCCAAACTACATGAGCATGCGTAGGGATACGGCGTCTTGGTTTCGCATCTCGCATTTGTTGGAGAAAGAAAAGATGGGCCCGGTGTCCTGGCTCAGGTTTGTCAGTCATTCAGCACACGATCACCATACTCCGGCCTGTTGACTGCCACTAACCAGCATAACACAGCCAGATTTTTATTCTTGTTTTGCTCTCAGCCGGCCACCATGGAGCTAACGGTTTGATTCGTACAGCGGTAGTGAAGTTCAGCATTTCGCATGTGCAGCAGATCCAAAATCGTAAACCCCATTCTGGAGTTTTGGGGAAATGTCTCGAATTATACGCTGTTTTTGCTATTGACACAAGAGGGAGGATCTGTCTCTCCTGTCGTGACGAGGAAATGAGTGAAATGAAATGAAATTGATATGAATTGAAAAAGAAATATCTACCACATGACGATTACCCCACTTGTTCTGTTTCCCGTAGCGCCAGCTAGCTACCTCGTACTAGTTGTATCTGACACCCTTCGTACACCGCGACTATCGGTCTTTTTTGGGTCGGCGTTCGGTAGTTCGGGTTCGCCTTCGGATATTGTGAAACGCACCAGTTGTGACTAGAGTAGCATGATGCTGGGTGTGCACTGCGGCCTCGGGGGGACTTATTGTATCCGATTGTCGTAGACTTGACCATGTCTGTCACATCTACAAAGAATGTACTTCCCCTTATACACCTACAAAATTATTGTTTATGTAATAGTATATACAATGGATAATGAACCCTCCATTGAAATGAAACCAACTAGGTGGTTTTACTATCCTAATCCGCTGGTCCACAGCATCCCAGGAAAGCAAGAAATCAAAATAGAGAGAGATAGATACTATACAATTCAGTATTTCCAACCCCTTCACCTACTGCGCAACCCACACAACCCATGATTTAAGGGCATCCCGAAGAGGGGTAGTTGCAGCTATCATCGCTACCACCGGTGATGTCGACATCAGTGAAGACAAAGTTAGAGCAGCTGCCATCACCACAGAGGATGTAGTAATCCTTGCCGTCGCTCATAGTACCCTTGACATTGACGAAAGAGATGTTCTCGATCTTGACGCCGTTGGTCGGGTCACCGGTAGCACCACCGTTCTCGTAGTCCTGCTGGATGTCGATGCCGTAGTCGCTGATGCCGGACAGAGTGATGTTTTCGTACTTGACGTTGTAGACCTGTATTTGCTCGGTGGTTAGAATAATAAGATGTTGATGGTTAAGATAGGATGGACTAACCTCGCCAGTGGTATCAGCATTAGACTTGATGCGGCAGCCGTTCTCGCTGTTAATGACCTGGGAGTTGGAGAAGGTGACGCCGTCGACGGTGTTGTTGCTCTTGCCGCCGATGGAGCCGATGGAGAGACCGTGACCACCGTAGCAGTAGAGGTTGTCGACGACGATCGAGCTACCGCTGGTAACGGCAACACAGTCGTCCTGGTTGTGCACCCAGGAGTTGGAGAGGGTCAGGAAGTCGCTCTGCTTGATGTCGAAGCCGTCGGTGTTGTGGGCGGCCGGGTCGCCGTCACTCTTGCTGTTGGCGGCGTCACCGGCGGTGTTGTTGAGGATCAGGCCGGAGATGGTCAGGTACTCGGTGTTCTCGATCTCGAAGCAGTGGACGGGCCAGTTCAGGATGTTGAGGTTCTCGATCTTGGAGTTGTACATGTCCTTGACGACAATGAAGTGGTCGGGCCTGGTAGGAGCTATGAGTAGGGTTCTTCATGAAAGGGCTGTGGTGGTAGGCTCGTACTTGTCCTGTCCGCCGTTGGATCCCTCGCCGTCCCAGTAGGCTTCACCGTTACCGTTGATGACATGTCCCTCCTCACCGGTGATGGTCACGTCGGTACCGGAGATGACAATGGGGTCGAAGTCGCTGTCGTAGGTGTCACCGAAGGTCTGTCGGACTCTCCGTTAGTATGGCGGTTGGCCCTAATATAGGAAGGATATGACTTACGGTTTCACCAGCAAAGATGACAGCCGCACCGGTCTGCAGACCCGTGAGATCGATGGTGCTCGATGCAGGGGCGTTGATGTTGGACAGGAGGATGTTGGAGCAGGATGCGACGGCAGAGGAGATCGAAGCGTACTCAGTCACTGTGCAGGTAGTGCCTCCGTTGCCTGCCACGGAGCTCTGCGCCGGGAGGACAGCCTGGGAGGTCACAGCCGCCGCTGCCGAGGTGGACAGGGGCACACGAACGGCAGTGGTGTGGAAAGTGGTCGGGATCGCCGAGGTGCGAGTGGCTGCAACAGCAGGTGCCTTGCCCTAGACTGAATCAGTAATCAAAGCGTGATGATGCATCTAAATGGTAAACTCACTACCTTGCTGCTGCTGGAGACTGCCGGGGCAGCCGGGGTGGAAGCAGGAGCAGATCCATCGGCGGTGCCCAGGCAGCTGCAGGCACTGGAGAGGTGCTTGGTCTTGTAGTCACAGTTGGAAAGGAAGACATCCGGCACGCCAGTCGTGGCAGTCACGGTGCTCGCCGTGAAGGTGGCGCAGAAGCTAGCGGCGGCCGCAGAGGAGACGGAAAAGGCAGAGGCACAGGAGTGAGTCTCAGCGCTGTCGCACCCCAGGGCGAGAGGAAGGAAAGAGGCAAGGAGCGCGCTGCGCTTCATCATGATGAAAAGAATGAAAGACTAAAGAGTGTGAAGTTACTAGGGAAACGAAGTGAAAAAGGAAGGACAATGAGGGCGTTGAATTCCAGATTTCAACCATGGACAGCCGTCGACAACCCAGCATTCTTATATGATAGATTGATAGCATCGGATCAGTAGAGCCGAGAACCACAGTACCGTTGGTCTAGCCGGAAGTCAAGATTCAATAAGCTAAGCTCAGCCACCTCCTCCGGAGCTTAGCATGGATGCATCGTGAACCGACCCATCTTCTGCTTGAGTGGAGACAACTTTGGTTAGAACGTTCGGTCGGCCCCGCATAGCGTCCAGCAGGGGGTCCTGACTTGCTGGTTGATTGGCACCGTCGGCAGTCAGCGTTCCAGAGCCGAGCTCGAGACGGGGAGTCGCTAACTCGCTATACTAGTGTTTTTGATGAAGGGTTTTCCGTTGCCCCTGGAGCGTGTTTCACGATTGCCGCCATCACTTATCTGAGACCCGGACACGTCATGGCGCGAGTCATGACCATCCAGACACCATGAGGACCGATCCGAATTAATCATCCACCACCGTGAATAAAGCCCGATGCCTGCATAATTGACGACGTCGGCTAATTCGGGGCTCTCGGTCATTTGACACTGACTGCAGGTTTAATCTTGTCTTCCAACGCTGATTCGATGAACTACGCGACTCCCCTGAACTAGAGAATCCGTGCCTGGCTGGTCTGTCGTACATCCTCAATGTGAGACCCTTGGATGGCCGGGATTTATCACAGCTCACTTCATCAGGATCTGGGGTGGGTCTTCGGCGTTAACATGATGTTCAAATTAAGCACCCCAGACCCAGTTAGGGAAGGGTCACCGAGTAATCCAGGAACCATCCCCAGCATCACCGTTGACTTCCCCCTGTGGATTAGTAGTGGCACAGTATATTCAAGATGAATCTGGACCATCATCTGGATCATGAGGTTTTCAGGATCTGTGCGCGGACCCCTTTTTATCCGCCCATTTCCAGGGGTCAACAGCCAGAAATCCTCCGGGATCCCATTGACCATTCGATATTCTACAACGCCTCGTGAAATGAGTCAGCAACGTATAGGTGATCATTGTTCTCCTGTGTGCTTACATGCAGTTAACATCTGCAATACCTCCAGGCCTTTCATCTGCGGTCCCCAATACAATATTCTGTTAGTCCCGGCACGCAGGAGGGTCCAAGGGAAGGTAGTGGGCCAGACGACAAAACAAGGTCAACAGCGGAATATCGTAGCCGCTCTGTATCAGAAAGATGGGATCGACTGAAAATCCGTTGTAGAAGCCGTGATTAATGGGGCAGTAGTCTAGTATCAGGAAGCATGAGGCGAGTCATGGTTCCAAGTCAACCTCTGATCGCTTTCCCGTCCCGCTGCACGTGTCATATGACTGCCACCATCGAATCTCCTCCCGTTTTTCTCGTCTCTTTTTCCCATTACGTCCTGTAGCAGTTGCCTGCGATGTTTTGCAGTTGTTGATTGTGTTTACACCTGAGACTGCCGCTGTTGCCAGATCCAGATACTGAGGATGATGATCCAAATCTCTAGAGCCTCAAGAAAATAATGCGTCTAGGAGCTGTGACTCTAAAGGCTATCGATGACTGACCACTATTACTGACCTTCACCTTTCAGGAGGAATCGAAAAAGCGAAGCACCGCAACACTGATACGCCACATTCAACCGTCATCATATGCTCCAATCATGCTTCTCGAAGACGATGGTGTTTTGATGACAGAGCTACCTGCGACTCCCATAACCAACGCCTCCCAGGCCATGCGGTAACGTTTGGAACTGACAAGTCTCAAGGTAAATTTGCGACAACTCTATATGGATATGAAAAGGCCGCAGCTCTCCTATTTTAAGGCCCACGGCCCGCCGTTTCCGAGAAAGCGCATTTCAACGTGCCAAATATTGCGCGGATTCGCACGTCGTCACTTTGCTAAACACCTAAAGCCTTTCATGAACGCCGAGACGCGCCCTGTTGACCTCCCAAGCGAATTCAAGAAACTGCACTTCACTGTTCGGACAGATGTAATGGTGCAAGAAACGAAAAGTCTGATCAAATACTTTGCTACACCTAAGGGTCTGTCGCAATATCCAGCTGCCTAAACAGCCCTATAGTTACCTATAGGCTATTTTGGTTGAGCACTGGGTGGGTGAGGAGGATTCCAAAGCTCAAAACCTAGTGAACCCAATAATCTAGACCCTAACAAATTACAGAGCAATGTACGACTCCAGCGATGTTTTACAATCTGCTTCGGTGCTTATATGGGCAGATAGATGCACCTGCCAATGCTCGTGAAGAAAAAGGAAGCTGTGCGTGCCATCTCATCGGTGGAACCTACGATGCACTGGTCCGTGCATTCGGATTCTTTGCCTGATCAGCTCGTATAGGACGGACTAAGACTATAAAAAGCAATAAGACTGAAGAAAGCGGTTAACTCCACCACACACTAAGCCGAACATGGTTCAGCGTACGAAATACGATAGGCACAGTTCCAACTATCTCAACAACGGCCATTGAAGAATTCTCTCCACGCATAGAAAGTTTCAGGAGTCGCAGTCACTTAAGAAGTGAAATGGCCCAGTTCAATCCCAATCTCCGGCTTCCTTCCCGCCATCTCTATCTTAACCGGCTACGCTGCTTGCTATCATGGCTACCGGTTGGACAGCATACGCCTACTATCCCTCCGTGGGAGGCGCCGCGGTTATGATCATGCTTTTCCTGGCCGGCGTTATTGTTTTCACGTATCAGCTTATTCGAACGCGAGCATGGCTGACCATTGCGGCCTTGATTGGCGGACTGTGTATATGCCATGCTACACCCTGCCTCAGACCACTTCAGCTAACATTAGAATTGTAGTTGAAACAGTCGGTTATATCGGTCGCGCCATGTCCGGAAACCAATCCCCCAACTGGACGCTGGGCCCCTATATCATTCAGAGCACCCTTCTCCTCATTGCCCCGGCATTGTTCGCTGCCACCATCTACATGATCCTCGGCCGGATTATCGCCCTCGTGCATGGAGAACACCACTCGATCATCCGACTGAAATGGCTGACAAAAATATTCGTGGTCGGGGATTGTTTGTCCTTCCTGATGCAGTCGTCCGGTCCGTGATCCACCTACTACCAGCCGTCAATACTACAATATGCTGATATCCACAGGCGCCGGAATCATGGTCCAATCCAAATCCGCGACCGATAATACAGGCGAGAATGTCATCATCGGTGGACTTCTAGTGCAGATCATTTTCTTCTGCTTCTTCCTTGTGGTCGCCATCATCTTCCAACGTCGCATCTACCGGCACCCTACCGTGCGCTCCGAATCGCCGATGATTCCATGGCGCAAGCACTTCTTCTCGCTGTACGCGTCCAGCTTCTTGATTCTTATTCGATCCATTGTACGATTCATCGAGTATATCCAGGGACAGGAGGGATACGTAATTACCCATGAGGCTTTCATCTATGTCTTCGATGCGGTCCCCATGTTCCTGGTACTGTGTATTTTGATCCGGTTTCATCCGAGTGAGATAAACGGGCTGCTGGGAAAGTCGAGGGTGGCAGCAGTGGGCTACGGGCTCCGGTTTGTCGATGTGTCTCCTGCAATGTAATGTATGGAGATATAGTGCAAGTATGGGATACATCCTAAGTGTATTATCGTTTGACAGATCCTAGAAATATAGACTGCTTCCATATATTCTTTACCCCGTGTAACTAACAAATCCGACATTTGAGTCAGATGGGTCGCCCATCCATTATTCAAATCCAAGCCCAACCAAAACCATTGTATACACAAAAAGGTGCACTTTACGTCGTTCCTTACTACAGATCTTTAGCCACGTCTTCCCACAGTATCTAACCAGTAATAAGCTATATATCTAGCGCAAGTAATGCATAAACAACCCCCAAACCGGCAACGGATACGAATACGAACACCACCTACAAACAAAAACACTATCAACATCCAGTCACTACAGCTTAGATAGACTACTCCAAAATATCCCCTCACGTACCATAGATAAAGTAACCCCAAAGTCAGCATGCATCCCACCTCCACCTCTCACAAATTACACCCAACAATGAAAGAAAAAGATGCCCTCAGAATACCGCCTCTACGAATACACCCCCTCCACCGCCGCCGCAATCACAGCAACCACCTGCTTCGGCCTCATTACGATATGCCATTTGATCCATTACTTTGCGCAGCGAACATGGTTCTTCACTCCGTTTATTATAGGGGGTATATGTATGATCTCCTCCTCAGTTACGCATCCCGAATCACAAAGACTAAGTAGAGATATATATAGTCGAAACAACCGGCTACACAGCCCGTATAATCAACAGCGAACAAGCCCCCCTCCAATGGACCACAGCACCATATATAATGCAAGAGCTGCTTCTTCTCCTCGCTCCGTCCCTCTTCGCAGCGTCTATATATATGGTTTTGGGCCGCATTGTCCGCGTTTCGAAGGGTGAATCACAGTCCCCGATCCCGGCTCGCTGGATAACAAGGGTTTTTGTTGTTGGGGATGTGCTTGCAATTTTGGGGCAGGCGACTGGTTAGTTTCTCCTTATTGTTGTATCTTTCATTTTATGAATGTTGAATAATCGTTTCTTCGTTTATGACCATGAATGGAGTGCTAACCATGATGGTATACCAGGCGGAGGGATTCTTTCCCAAACATCATTCTCCTCCACAACCTCGGATTCCAAATCAAATAAATCCCGCCAGAAACTTGGTAATTGGATAATCATCGGTGGACTTATAGCGCAGATTATCTTCTTTGGATTATTCATCCTCGTCTCGGGGGTGTTTGATACGCGGATGACACGGTTTCCCCCGCCGCCGCGGAGCCGCAGAAGACATCCTCATCGTCATCGTCATCATCATCGTCGATATCCCCCATGGTGCCAGTTACTTAGGGTGCTGTATGTTGTTGATGTGTTGATTATAGCGCGCTGCGTGTTCAGGGTTGTGGAGTTTGCGCAGGGAAGGACGGGAGTATTGCAGAGGAAGGAGGTGTGGATGTATGTGTTTGATGGGCTGTTGATGTTTTTGGTTATGCTTGTGTTGTTGGTTTGGCATCCTAGTCGGCTTGGGTGTGAGAAGAGGGAGGGGAGGAGGAATGATGTGGAAGGGGGGAAGAAGAAGAGGAGAAGGAGAAGGAGTTCGAGTCATCGGAGAGTGAGGGGGTGGGTTGAAGATGGGGGTGTTATTTAGTTTCGTCGTTCTCATTGTGTATTGAGTAGATAGTTTGGTTATGTTGGCTGTCGGGGGCATGTTGATATGAAGAGTAGTGGCTTGCTAGTGTCTCGTAGAAATGCTTAGGTTGTGTTGGAGAAGTATCGGAGTATGATGGGTTGATCAAGCGCTAAATATTTCCATAGTTGTTATATACTGGTAGTGTAGATATTTGACACAGTCAAGCTGCACGGCTATAGACGGCCCTGCCGCATGGACCGAATTCCCTGCTGCCACATCTCCCAATACGCCGGAACTTGAGGGATTGCCTCTGCCAGCTTGCGAAGACCTGTCATTCCTCGCTCCGCATGTACAGGGGCAACATCCTCACCCGGAACATTCAACGAATTGTTAAACACCTCCAGGGACATTGGTCCCTTGTATCCAGTCGCTACCACAGCGGCAGCAACCAGATGAACTGGCATATACCCCCCACGCTCTGATTCAAACGGGAACAATCGATGCCCGCGTGACCATGGTAGCAGCGCAGGTATCTTGGGATCTGTCGGAGGGAGAAACTTCTTAGGATCCACACGCTCCGCGTCCCCCACCTGGAAGAAGAAGATGCGGTCTCCAGGCACGGAAGCCACGAGGGACGATAAGGACGCGCAGAGCACATCGGTGGACTCCTCCACGGTGGAATAGATGCGGCCATGACCTGCGGGATTATACGGATCCGCATATTCAACACCCAGCACGTTGTATGCATCGATTATGAGTCCAACGTTGGGACGATTTGCCATTCTCACAACTTCCCAGGTGGACGCCCAAGTATTTCGCACAGCCCAGGAAAGACCCTCGTAGCCGATGCGCAGCATGGGGCCGCCGTCTGCATCGGAGTATGCCTTGGCCATGTCGCCCAGCTCTGCGAGATCGCGTGCGACAGTCTTCAGGTCGGAGGTGACGCCAGTATCGGTACGGATATTCGCACACATGAAAACGAGGTCGGTGTCGAAGGCACGCATGAATGGGAAGCGCTTCGCAACAAGGTCCAACGTGGCTCGTCGCTCCGCTGGATCCTTGATACCTTCGATGCAGCGTAGAGGTTGTGTGCATGCGATACGCATACCTAATGATTTGACTAGATCGCCGAGTTTACGGGCGACCCGCAAGTTGTCAGGGGTTGCTTCCCAGAGCTGGTCACCGGGAAGTCCATGTTCCTCGAGGTAGGCCGCCCAGCACTCGTCGAAGAGGTCGATCCAGCGGTAACCAGCTTTCGCTGCGGCTTCGAGGCGGGGTGGGAGCTTATGGTGTATGGCGTTGCCGAGAGAGAGAGTGGCAATGCCAAACTCATTGGGGATGGAGGTAGGTGGCCAGGAGATAGGCATGATGGCTGTATGGAGCGATGGAGGGGTGTGCTTATGAAGAAGAGAGGAGTGGAATACTCGGGTGACGAAAAGAAAAGCAACGAGTCATCTTTGGCCCGGATAATCTTTCAGCACCAAATTGTGGGGAGAAGGCTTTCCCGTCTGGGGTGGCTAACCCCTATCCCCGCGATGATCATCAAGGGATTCTGGGGATATATGCTGGGGTATGAATACTTAGCCTCCCCCAGGTCCTGAGCCACATCCAGGCCTCGAAGATTGTACCTCTGACGTCAGCGATGCACTGATCCCATGGATGTTGTGAAGCATGCCACTATTCATCCTCGCGAGGGGCTGTTGTGCTTTCAGGTCGGTCGTGTTGCGCACTTGCGACAGACGAGGTACATAAACACCGATAGATACCCTTATCTGGAAGAATTGTGAGGGCGACATGAGATGGCCTTCCCTGGTTGGTTACGCATGAAGTTGTTTTGTGGTGTCAACAGGGGCTGTCGGCATCTTCCGCTGTCTCCGAGGTGGGAGTAAACTTTATCCCCCCGTGAACCGCATTTGCCTGTCCATGCCCAGTCATGGAAACCTAGAGTGATTTCTGGTCTGGTGTTATGTTACTTTGTTCCGATGCCTTTTCCTCACCCTAAGCGAACGAACGGCCCTTCCCTGTTCGATTAATCGAAGTGCCTCCTCACCACTAAGTAGCCTCATCTAGGACCGGACCAGCTAGACGCATCGGTCCTTGGTTGAATCATGCCAATCCCGGCCCGGAAATGAATGGATGGTCTATTTCAATAATTGACCACCCCGAAAATAAAGCCTGCGTTCCCATTCTGCGCGAACCGGCCGCTAGGGCCTGTTCAAAAAGGCCTCGGGGTCGGAAGAACCGGCACCGCAGGAATTCAATGCGACCGATGCAAGGACACGTCAGATCTGCATGGCGGATTGAAGATTCCCCGCCACTCTGGAGCGAGCAATCCCGGCGGGATGCCATTACTGTTAATCCTGGAATAATGTAAGGCACTGCTTCGGTCAGCTCCGTGCGGCGTGCAGATCGCCATTTGCCAATAGTCCGTATGGGTCCCAACAGCTGGGTAGGTCGGCCATGAAGACGGGCCATGATAATGAAGATTCTGTCTGGCGAGAGTGACAGCAGACAGGAAATTGAATAGCGTAGTGCTTTCCCTTCGCAGTGGGAAACAGACCCTGGATCGATCTCCACGACGAGGGTCAACAACAATGTGGATCTCATCCCATTCTTCCCGGCTTCCCTCCCCCGTCATGAGCCCTTTTTGGTACATAACCCTTCCTTGACTGATAGGACAAGCACGAGTTTTGAGAGCATGGAATGATGGGCCTGGCCAAGCCATCCTCTTTCTTGCCCCCTCGATGTTCACTGAGGGTCACATCACCTTGGCCATCCCAGACATCATTGGGCTCTCTCCCCCTCCGCCGGAAGGGTCGTCGGACCAAGTGGATCTTCGCCCGCTAGTTAGTGAGTCTGTTAACCCGTTCTCGACTTCTCTCCGCATCTCAATCTCCACAGCCCATTCCATCATCCCCGGCTAGCATCTCCCACCGTTGGAACACTACTGCATCCCCTCGTACGACCAATTCCTTCCAAACTATGGCCTGTTCAGCTGGTAATAATGCAATTAGCCTAATCGGCTAAATCTCGGGGCGATGACTATTTAAATCGTCATCGAAGACATCTTGATAGCACTGAGCACTTGCCCCTGCATTGACGGAACGCGGGCGTCAATTCTTTTGGCCGTATCATGAATTCCAAATAGAAGGCCCAAACATGTACTTCTCTTCCTTCTTGGCCCTAGGGGCCTTGGTTCAGGCTGCAGCAGCAACCTATTTTGCCCCCAACTCTACCGGTCTTCGTATCCAGCATGGTTTTGAGACGATTCTTATCCAGCCGTTTGGGTACGACGGATTCCGTGTGCGCGCATGGCCCTTCCGTCCGCCTTCGGGTAACGAGATCAGCTTCATCTACGATCCCCCGATCGAAGGCTATGAGGACACTGCGCATGGCATGAGCTATGACACCGCAACCACCGGCACGGAGCCTCGCACCTTGCGCAACGGCAATATCATCCTGCGCACCACCGGCTGGGGTGGTACCACAGCCGGATACCGACTGTCCTTTTATCGCGTCAATGACGATGGAAGTGAGACCCTTCTCACAAACGAATATGCTCCGCTGAAGTCTCTCAACCCCCGGTACTATTACTGGCCGGGACCTGGGGCCGAATTCTCAGCTGAGTTCTCTTTCAGTGCGACTCCGGATGAGCAGATCTATGGTACGGGCACGCAACAGGATCATATGATCAACAAGAAGGGCTCCGTAATTGACATGGTCAACTTCAACTCCTACATCCCTACCCCGGTCTTCATGAGCAATAAAGGCTATGCCTTCATCTGGAACATGCCAGCTGAGGGGCGTATGGAATTTGGCACCCTCCGGACCAGATTCACCGCCGCGTCCACGACGCTTGTTGACTATGTAATCGTCGCCGCGCAGCCGGGCGACTACGACACCTTGCAGCAGCGGATTTCGGCCCTCACAGGACGGGCCCCGGCCCCGCCTGACTTCTCGCTTGGATACATCCAGTCCAAGCTACGATATGAAAACCAAACGGAGGTGGAGCTGCTGGCTCAAAACTTCCATGACCGAAACATCCCGGTGTCCATGATCGTTATTGACTACCAGTCCTGGGCTCACCAGGGTGATTGGGCGCTCGATCCTCGCCTGTGGCCCAATGTTGCGCAGATGTCGGCGCGGGTCAAGAACCTCACCGGCGCCGAAATGATGGCATCGCTATGGCCCAGTGTTGCCGACGACAGCGTCAATTACGCAGCCCTGCAGGCGAACGGCCTTCTCTCGGCCACGCGCGATGGACCTGGTACCACTGACTCCTGGAACGGATCATACATCCGGAACTATGACTCCACCAACCCCTCGGCGCGGAAGTTCCTCTGGAGCATGCTGAAGAAGAACTACTACGACAAGGGTATCAAAAACTTTTGGATTGACCAAGCCGATGGCGGAGCGCTGGGTGAGGCGTATGAGAACAACGGACAGAGCACGTATATTGAGTCCATCCCGTTCACCCTGCCAAACGTGAACTATGCCGCTGGTACGCAGCTCAGCGTGGGTAAGCTGTACCCCTGGGCGCATCAGCAGGCAATTGAGGAGGGGTTCCGCAATGCAACAGATACCAAGGAAGGGAGCGCATGCGATCATGTCTCCCTGAGTCGGTCTGGATACATCGGATCCCAGCGGTTCTGCAGCATGATCTGGTCGGGAGACACTACATCCGTTTGGGACACCCTGGCAGTGCAAGTAGCCAGTGGACTGTCCGCCGCAGCAACAGGCTGGGGTTGGTGGACGGTCGATGCCGGTGGCTTCGAAGTCGACTCGACTGTTTGGTGGAGTGGAAACATTGACACGCCTGAATACCGGGAGTTGTATGTGCGCTGGCTGGCTTGGACGACTTTCCTGCCATTCATGCGCACTCACGGTAGCCGGACCTGCTATTTCCAGGACGCCTACACCTGTGCCAATGAGCCGTGGTCCTATGGTGCAAGCAACACACCCATCATTGTCTCGTACATTCATCTGCGCTACCAGCTGGGTGCTTACCTGAAGTCCATCTTCAACCAGTTCCACCTCACAGGCCGGAGCATCATGCGCCCATTGTATATGGATTTCGAGAAGACAGACCCGAAGATCTCCCAGCTGGTGTCGTCGAACAGCAACTACACGACGCAACAGTACATGTTTGGCCCACGTCTCCTGGTCTCGCCAGTGACCTTGCCGAACGTGACTGAGTGGCCCGTGTATCTGCCGCAGACGGGACAGAACAACACCAAGCCTTGGACATACTGGTGGACGAATGAAACGTATGCCGGAGGACAGGTCGTCAAGGTGCCTGCCCCCTTGCAACATATCCCCGTGTTTCATCTGGGATCGCGCGAAGAGCTTCTCTCGGGTAATGTTTTCTAGGGTTCATCGATTTAGATCAGTGACGGGATAGAAAATCTTTGAGAAGACGTAGCACTTTACGAATATCAGCCGTCTTATTTGAACGCAAAATTAGTTGGAGTGGATGCTCATGATATTCAGGAAAGGTAGAAGGATGTAATAAAGAAAGCCGGGAGGGAAGAGAATAGCCCAAACGTTGATGTTGACAGGTGACTGGCACGTGTTGCCTTCAATTCCACAGCCAACACTCCTCTTGTGCGGTACAGGACACACAATCCATACATGTATTCTAACTCAATAGCTCGTCCGCCCCAATCAGTAGCAGAGTATGCAACTCAGACAGCCGGTAATCGAAGTGCCAAGTCCACTTCAAAACAGACTACATAAATGATTTAGGACACTTATGATACAGAACACGTCCATGCAGAATATCCCAATGCACATAGTAGTTACAAGATTACAAGGACCAACAACAACACAAACAAAGACAATCAGCCCGCACAATCAATCAGCTCCTACCAGCGGCTTCTGCTCCGCCGACTCAGGAGGGGCCTGCTCATCCCAATCACACCGGCAATGCTGGGCACGATAGCGGAGAATAGCAGCGAGACTATTCGCCGTAGTAAGAGCTTGCAGCACCGCAGCTGTCCAGACCATTCCCATGAATGAGGTCCCCGTCGTCGCTGACACCCCATAACCATTACCGGATTTGTTGATCAGTTTCACAAATTCCGTGGTAATGACGCTGGCGATGATGGAAGCGATTGCAAAGCTGAGAAGGCTCACCTGCATAGTAGACACGACATTAGCGATCTAGGATGATGCCAGGGGCCATGACTCTATACTAACCAGGAAAGCAAAGAATTCTATACTAGATGGAGGGATGTCAAAATCAAAGCTAGATGCCGAGCTTCCGGGGTACATAGGCGGCCTGCTACTTTCCGATGCTCGCGCACACACGACCGTCCAGATGCGGATTCCGATGGCTATAGCGGATGTGGCAGTTCCAAGGATCAGAAGCAGGACCATCGTTGTGTTGGTGGGAGCTAACGCCTCGAAATCGTCTGTTATCCAGGACGGCCAGCTGTCTGGGGATAGACTGCCTGACGGGGTGCCCAAGGCTTTTGTTATAGCTTCACCAGGGTTGAAGGTGAACAGCACGCTGCGGTCAGAGCAGTCAACGATTTCGGTTTTGGTTGTTGTGGCGTTGGTAGTCTCATCTGAAACATATATCTCCTGATATCTGGTGCAGTAGGACATGGTATAGATGGAGAAATAATCGGGGGCACCCTGTCCACCGGCACCTCCTGTGTGTAACTAGTGAAGAGTATATGAGTGGTAGAAGGTATGATCGGAAACATCGTTAACTTACGGTTAAGAGGTCTGCCTGGGGTAGAAACTGGCGCTGGCTGCCAGCGAAGAGAGAGAAAATGCCTAGCAGGAAAGCAACGCAAGAGCCGATACCAGGCAGGAAGATCTGGAGACAGCCCATGATGATGTCTATGGTTAGTTTTCTTTTGGACCAGTATACTAGCGGGTACGGGGGTAGATGTGATTGCAGATTTCCCTCTGCCGAATCAATAAGGGATGGACGCGTCTCTTCATGAGGCAGCGGACACGATGTAAACAACGAGTCATGCTTCACACAAGGTGATACTGCAGAGAAGGAAGATCTTATACAGCGTAGATAGCTGGCTTGTAATGGCCGTGCTATTCAGCAGACACTGTCTCACTTCCATATTCGGCTCCCAGCCACCGAATTCTGGGAATGCTTAGCCAGGCTTCTACGAGGGGGCATCGCCAGTGACCCAAAGCCTTGGTAAATTCTGCCGTACGCGGGTAGGGGTTACGTAGAGACTTCATCAGGGAGAGAGCAAGGTCTCCGGATCTAGTCCCAGCCACGCAATTTGTAGTCCTGCGTGATGAGACTGTGTGATCATGTATCATAGGAGCACATTGCTTGTACACCCACCGTAGATGCTGGGTGGAATGGTGATCAGCACCGGCAATGTTTCGATTCGCCCGAGCCCCAACCCAATGGTAGATTAGTACTCCATTTAGTTACTGGGTCACAAAGAAACTCAATATTACTTAAGAAGAGACGTTGAAGGTTACTCCCGTCACTCGGAGCCAGCCGAGAAGCATGGCAAGCTTGTCCCGGGAAATCCTCCGAGAGCTACATTCCCTGCACCACTGACTGGTATGAAAGAAGCACCCAGGAACCCGGAACCTCCATATAAACTCAGGTTACACGAGGATTCCCCAGATACACTCAAATATGCTGTTACAGAACGAGAAACAGGTTTCGAGGCTCCATACTGTCGTTTGAGTGGTCGGATCTACCTTCCGAGTCGCTATGTTTCAGAGGTGGAAACCAGCAAAGTCATCGACGGAGTTCTAGACAGATTATAATAGCATCCATTTTATGTTAGTCGCCCCGTCGAGGCCATTTCGGGGACCGTCTAGACAGGCGCATGAATGGCTATGCTTGTCAACGTCGAACTTGCAGCGTTCGGTCGAGACCCGGGCTAACATTCTTCACCGTTTTAATAACGGATTTGTAGAGTACGGTTGCAAATATGGGAACTATGTTATCTAGTCTATGTGGTGTCTATCATTGTATTATATCTACAGCAAGGCCCCGGATTATAATTATTAATCTACGCCTCTTTGATATCTTCTTCGGCAGGCGGCATCAGATCCATCACAGGGGCCAATTTACTCTTCTGCCGAAGACGGCCACCAAAGAGGTAGAACATCAACGGAATGGGAATCATTACCACGGCAATGCATCCCAGCAATGTGCCGGCCCATTGAATGCCCAAATTGTTGAACATTTGTCGCGTGAAAAGAGGAAAGACGGCACCCACCATGGATCGCATCATGGTATTTGCCGCAAAGGCAGACGCCGCACTGCTTAATTAGCATGTAATCCAAGGGTTACTATAAAAGGGGTATGGGGGGTTTGAAGACACTCACAACTTCGAGTACGTATCTAGGATGTAGTTGAAGCACTGCATGAAGATGGAAGTTAAGCCAAATCCTACGGCCACACCAGCAGCCGTGGGTGCCATCCAATGAATGTTACTGTTCCATCCAGTCCAACCGAACCTGCTCCGCTTATCAGTATTTCCACCGAGTCTGGCGTTGTACACATGCGTGGAGAAAACCATACCAGAATAGTCCACCAGCAAACACCGCACCACCCACGATGCAAGGGGGGAGACGCCATTCGGGCACCGCAACGTAATTGTTGGCCGCCAACTTCCGCGAATATCGTCCCGACAAAGACAGAACAAACGTGCTACCGGCGATTTCACCAATGATAAGGCCAATGAAGGGCAGCCCTGCGGTACCACCGGTCATGCCATAGGTACCTTCGAAGATGATCGGATAAGCTTCCAGCAACGCATAGGCCAATCCGTAAATGAAGGACATGTAGAGGGTGAGCAGAAACGCAATGGGCTCGGTGAACAGAATCAGGAACGGACGCGCCAGGTTCTTGGTGACCAATTCTTTGAAATCAATCTCCAATTCATCCTGGCGGGCGTGGATGCCCCAATTCCGCGTCTGGCGCCGGAGAATGGCTGCCTTTTGGACCAGAATGATTGGGGCATAGGTCTCTGTGGTAAAGAACACTATCAACGCGAGACAGAAGAACCCAACTATGGCAGGGACGTATAGCGTCCATCGCCAGCCGAGATAGCTTGACGCGGTGTATCCACCGATGAATGGGGCTGTGAAAGGACCGGTAAACACCGACATAGTGTACATGGCAATAGCAACACCACGTTGGTGGTTGTTGAAGACGTCAGACAGGCTAGCAGGCACCAGAGCAATGATACTGGCCGCACAAAAACCCGCAAAGAAACGGCACAGCATCAGGGTTTGGGTATCCTTGGCGGTGGCAGTAGCTATCATGAAGAGGTCGAAGCCGAACATCCCAAGCAACAGCGGCCATCGCCGGCCAAGCAGCTCGGAACTAGGCGCCCACACTGTTGGGCCGGCCGAGAACCCTAGGACATACAGAGTCGTTCCCAGGGCCGCAACTTCCTCACCAAAGCCGAACTCTTTCTCGGCACCTGAAGCCGCGGTTGCAAACACCGCACTGCCGTAAGCGGTCACTAGGGCACAGGAGGTGAGAAGTGATCCAAGCATGACCCTATACGGCATCAGCAACCGTTCATGTCTATACACGTCCGACAGGTAAGTTGTGTTGCTTTACCTCTTCTTCATGGGCCAGTTATGGGGATGCATCGGATCATCCGCTCCTTCGAACTCGACCACATATGCCTCGGAGTCCGGTAGAGGCGGGGGATACGGCTTGCCCGCCCCAATAGGCAACCATTGGTCTTGTGGTATGCGACTTCCGCGAGATCCGACTGTCAGTTGTTGTTGGAGACGATAGGTGTTTATTCGCTCGAGCTCGATACTGTCATTGCCGGGGGGTCCGCCCTGCGAGTAGCGGCGACGGGATAGGGAGACACCGTCCGCTATGGACGAGGAATCGTCGGCTTTGGCCCGGGCTGAATCATGATGGAATCGATCCATGATTCACGAATCACCTACACTTTGGGCGGACGAGGGGGCTTGAGAACGGCACGAGTGTCAGCTAGCGAACACGGGGCTTATACATGGTACTAATATTAAATATGATAATGGTCTGGTTGGCCCCAGGAAGGCCCTGCAAATTTTCGCCGCTCATTTTTTTTCCTTCTTCTCACCCAGCTTTGGGCGGAAACCAAACCAAATGCTCTAGTGGGTCATCAAGGAAGAGCATCGGCCACTCAGCCAGAAGCGTTTAGATCCACCGAGTCGGTGGATAGAGGATTCCCTGGGGCTGTCCCGGATAAGACGGAGCAGACATGGCGCTATGCATATACGACCTGGTATAAGCCTTGATGCCGGACCATCAGATTCGGCTAGGTAGCTATCAATGTTCCTGCCTGGGCCATGGGTAGTATCTTGAGTCCGCCCGGGAAGTAAAATCAGCCAACTTTAAAATTCGGGCAGTGGCGGAGCCGAGAGAAGTGGTCGGGAAGTTCAAACCGGGTCTCCAGGCCATGGACTAGGCTCTCCGGAACTCGGACGCATATGATTATGGCGTTATCGAGCATTCCCCATCGCCTGGGGAGTAGCTATATTGTAGTGGGCTCAGCCCGACTTTTCTCGCCGGGATGATTTCCGTCGAAGAAAGATATCGGTGGAGGACATGAAAGACCTAGACGCGACCCCTGCTTGCATCCTCAGTATCTGCTGGACCGCCATCTGTACCTTTGAGTCACTGTCAGTAAGACAATCATCTGATGCCTACGTCAGACGGTGAGATGGCATATGGGAGAATAAGTAACTATAGCGACGTGATTGATTGTGGTGATGCCCGCCGGCAAAGCAAAAAAAGGGGAGGTGCGGAATGAGTTCCGCTGCCGACCGGCAATCGGCATCCCACTGGTTTGGATTTGTTTGATTATAATCAGAGTCAAAGGCAACGGGACATGCTTTGTGCAAGATGGAAGACGGTCGGTGTTCTCGATCACTGCCTGAACTAGACTGTCATCCTCGTGAAGCATGAAGCCAAAATTTTGCCCTCTGGAAAATGCAATAATACCATCAATCTCCTTCATGAGCGGACTTTTGACCACGGACTAACTAGTTGACTGGATGACCCCAAAAATGGCATCAGATCAAAGATTTCGAACTTGCGATCGAGATATGATGGGTGCAGGACATGTTTGTGCGGATGGTGGAGAGATATAACACAACTAGTGCTATCTACCTGTCTTTCGCAGATAGATCAATAGTTTGGTAGTACTATTGGTGGTGGCATCAATCTACCCCGCGGGGAAACCAACCCCTCACCAGCCAGGAAATCAGATTCCGATCCATCCATCAACAATCACCACGCCGGGTATTGATCCTACGTCTTCTTTATCTGTTGCTGCACCCCCCGCACCGCATCATTTGTGGTCTCAAAGAACGAAACGAGATCAACCAACTGTGCCAATATGATTACTGGTCTCCACCACGTCAACATCCTCGTCCCGGAAGGCACCCTGGACCGGGCGGAGGAGTTCTACACAAACACCCTGGGTCTGCCATCAGCCCCAGTTCCCCATCTACAGAAAGGAACTCTCCTATGGTAGGAAATCGATGCTCACGCTTCGATAAGATGGACCAGTTGTGGTTAATTTAAGTAGGTTCAACCTGACGCCGGATGGCAGTCAGCAGATTCATGTAGCCTTTGGGTCGAACAGCGATTTACATTCCGACCGTCACGCTTGCCTGAAAGTCGCGTCGCTGGACAAGCTATTGGCCCTGCAGCAGCGCATCTGGGAACATCATCAGAGAGGGGGTGATGCTGCCCCCTTGCACGCTGATAAGCCGGGGGAACAAAACTCGGGTATGTTATTCTTTCCCTTGCTCTTCGTTAGCTCCTCAAAAGCAGTATCTCTCTGAGCGGATGCGGCCGCATCGTGCTGTGTTAGATGGCTTGGTCTCACCATAATAGCCTGCTAATCGTGAATCCCTCATTGTAGGCGCCCAGGGCATCGAATATCCGAGCCGCTTTTTTGCCAGGGATTTTGCAGGTAACCGGCTGGAATTCACCTTATGACACGAATGGACAAGTTGGACGAGACTTTCTTTTCATCTTATATACCTGAGGAATGGGGATGAAGTTTTAATGGAACATTAAACATGCATCTCCTGAGTTCTGCAGTACCTTTTCACTGCACACTCATATAAACGCCCCGATTCAAGACTCCGTTCGTGACCTTTCTTGTCAATTCTGATGGATTTAGTGAGCGGGTGCGAGACGAAGTGATTGGCCGGAGCAACGTATTGGCTTTCCTACTTCCCCTGTCAAAGCAAGGACATGGCGACAATCCATCGAATGCACCTAATCCACATTATTCCGGCAATGTTATCGCCCAGTGCATGGTAAGAGTGGCTCAGAGGTGATAAGGCACACCCATCTATGAGTAGAGCTTGTAGAGCTCAATGAAATCTGAATTGAAAGATTGAGGCATGGAGAAATCGGGGTCTAGTATGTCGAACTACAGGGGAAGACCAGAGTTATATGTTTCAACAGCAGTTCCTTCCCGGAAGAATATTTATTAGTAACCGTAGTAAATCCATTTTCCGGCGTTGACACCGCCCCTCGAGGGATCTGCAGCAGCAAGACTCGGTACCGAGGATTACAGCAGCCCCCCTTCAGATCTACTACGAAGTACCCATGAAGATGGCATTGTTCACATATCTTGGAGTGTGTTATGCTCTCTGTGTCCTTGTTGGGAAAACTACCAAATGTCATGATTGTTGCAAGACACCTGGGATACATAGTTGCTGGCTACTGGTCTATTGTGCTCGCTGTCACTGTCACTGCCGATGGTGGAGCCTCGCTACGGCAGAGCGGGTACGTGAGCAAGATCCTTACGCTATTGCGCCATGGCCGCTACACAGTACAAGCCGGACCCCACAGAGGGGCCCGTGTGTCGGTGGTGTTTATCTATTGCCAGGTACCCAGAGGGGCACAAGCAAAGATCTTCGAGCTGTCAATTCAGAGACGGAGCTGAAAAGGCACTCGAACCAGCCATGCGTGCTTCCTCCGAACGATCCTCCACCGATGCCATGGCCAGAGACGAACCTGACTTAATGGTGCCCACACCGCACGAGGAGCAGCCCTTGCTGCGTCCCGATGCTGAAGCCCTCTGGAAGCCACCGGTAGGCTTCGTTTGGATCCAACTAGGTTTGTCGATGGTCAGTTCGTGACATGAGGGGTCTAACACAATTACAGCCATCATGTCGAATGTGTTCCTGTCTGGTTTCGACGGCACTATCACTGCCTCAACCTATGCTGTAATCAGCTCCGAATTCAACGCAGCCAATACCGCCTCGTGGCTCACAACTTCCTACCTGATCACTAGCACCGCATTTCAGCCACTATACGGTCGCTTCTCGGACATTTTCGGTCGCCGAACCTCCTTCTTTACAGCGACAATCACTTTCATGATCGGCTGTTTGGGTTGTGGGATCGCTAAAGATATTGTCCTTCTGAATCTGATGAGAGCGCTGACCGGTATTGGCGGTGGAGGCTTGATGACAATGGGTATGCACTCGCAAATATCCCCTTTCTCACTTGTCAATCTTCCAGAAGAGAGACTAATGTGATCCAGCCACTATTATCAACTCAGATCTCATCCCCTTCCGTCGTCGCGGCATGTATCAAGCCGTACAAAACGTTCTACATGGATTTGGGTCCATCTGCGGCGCATCGTTTGGAGGGACCATTGTCGATTCAGTTGGGTGGCGCTGGTGCTTTCTGTTACAAGTACCGGTCGGGCTTCTAGCTCTGATTACCGGTCATCTTGTCTTGAACCTGCCAACCCAGGACAAGTTTGCCAGCGAAGGCAGGAGTCTGCGGACAATCTGGAAATACGTAGATCTGTCTGGAGCTTGTGCTCTGATCGTTGGTCTTTCAACACAGTTGGTGGGTCTAAGCTTGGGTGGAAATGAGCTCCCCTGGTCCAACGTGTGGGTGATCTTGTCATTCGTGGCAAGTATAGTATCAATGGGCCTTTTCGTACTCATTGAGGCAAAGACAACTGCAATCCCATTGATTCCCCCTCGAATGTTGAAAGGTGTTCTGCCTGTTGCTACGCAGGTTGCCAATGTCTGCGTGGGAATGGCTGCCTATGCGGTGAGTGACCCTGATATCGGGTACCCAATTCATTGCTGACCGTTAAAGTTCCTTTTTACGCTCCCATTATTGTTTCAGGTAATCCTTTTGGATTCCCCTTCTAAGGCAGGTGCCCGACTTGCCGTACCGTCTCTTGCTACTCCGATTGGTGGTGTGATTTCTGGCTATGTGATGTCGCGCTGGGGTAAATTGGCCTACCTAGTCCGCACAGGCTCGTTTCTCATGTGCATTGGCAACATACTTGTGATGCTCCTTCAGTTCAATGACGCAGAGTGGAAGTACTACGCGGCCATGATTCCCGCCAGTCTTGGCCAAGGCATCACTTATCCAGGCATCTTGTTCACGTTCCTTGCCGCATTCGATCACGCCGGTATGAGCACCTTTCCGCCACTTTCTTCGCCAGAGATATCTTGACTGAACAATTAAACTGACTGATTTGTAGACCACGCAGTTTCAGCGTCTACTGTCTATCTGGTCCGTTCGATGGGTACGGTGTGGGGCGTCGCCATTACGTCCACCATTATCCAGAACACCTTGCGCTCAGGCCTCGCTGAGGCCTTGAGTGGAATACCAGACAAATGGAAAGTAACTCTCCTTCCAATGGACTTACTAATACCCCGAAACAATGGCTGATCAGTATTATGCTACTCGCACAGGTTATCGACGACATCAGACATTCAGTGTCTGCCATCCATAGTCTGCCGCCAGAGATCCAGCTGGCTGCGCGGATGGTCTATTACCGGGGTATACGCCTGTCATTCTTGGCGTCAGCGTGTTTCGGATTCGTTGCTGCTACTGCAGCTCTATTCACTCGCGGAAAGGGCCTCCATCGCTCCAGCGAGGCGTAGATCATGCGTATGTCGCACACTGACTCGCTTAACAGACAAGCCATCTGGAATGCGGTCCGCCCAGTACCTGGATGAGATGCGGGGCCGAAGTGGCGACTCTCGGGGAAGGTAGGTCTGGTGGACAAATGATCGCCAGCTTCAATTTTGGAGGACTCGGCTTCGCAAACTTAGAATTAGACAAAAGTCAATTAGCTCATGAGAGGAGGGGAGAGGCTTTTGGTTTATGACCACCCATACGGGGTGATCTGTTGGACTGACCAGGCAGCTGACTGGTTATGAAGGAGACGTCCAATCCCAGAAAAAGCACAGACTATAATAAATACACTCGTTTTGGATTCCCGTGCATTAATATCCTTTGATTGCCCGCTCCGGCGTGAGTTCTAGATGATCGATTGATCCCATGTGCCCAGCAGGATCCATTCCGCAATGCGGAGAAACCCCGTCTACCGAGGGAACCTACTCTGGAGCAGCTCCCCTTTCATGGATCACCGCAGTGGAACACCAATAGAAGCCATAGACGCCAAAATCCCTCTGCCTGGATATTGCGGGGAAGTTCTCATTCTGACAGGCCCGGCGGCGAGTCTGGAGATATAGGGCAAGCTCCACGACACTATGCCATGGTTAGCCGCATTTCCTCCGCACGATCGTCGACGATCATATCCAGTTCATGAACAATTCCGCCTTAGTTCCGCTATAATGAACGTTCCTAACCTTAATCTGGGGTTGGTCTTGCTTTTATCTCCCTCTTGGTTGGACGGGGCGTGATAACAGGGCTCGGAATTCGATAAGCGTTCCGGGATATCTTGGGTATCAGCCATCAGTCATCCCTATCGGGCCTGGATGAACAGGATGAATCAAGGAAACTCAGTCCCCACCGCTTTGATCTTATCGACCTGCGATGCTTGTCGAAATCGAGGCTTACAGCTGTCAACGTCCCTTTTAGCTGTGCGGAGCTAAGGTTATACTCGTAGGAAGAAGGATTAATAAGACGGATGGTCCTCCTCTCAAAACATATTGATTCCGCAGTCCCTCGTCACACAAAGAAGAACATAAGAGACTATGGAGTCGGACAATACTAAGGCCTCGCCCCTCAAATCAGGGTATGCCGCTTCGGCAGACCCTGAAGTCGACATGGACAAGGGGCAGGTTGCCCTTGCGGGTATCCCGGACATGCACCTGAAGCGAAACTTCAGCATCGTCAGTATAATTGCCCTGGGGTACAACAATACAAATAGTTGGGTGGCTATAGCCACGAGTTTTGCTATTGCAATCCAGTCAGGCGGTGCAGTCTCTCTCCTGTATGGCATTCTGCTGGTTACTGCTGCCATGTTCTGCACGGGTGTGACTTTGGCAGAGCTGGCCAGCGTGTACCCCACTGCTGGTGGCCAGTACCATTTCACATCCATCCTGGCGTCTAAGCGATGGAGTCGCGGATTGTCTTACTTCAGTGGCATGGCCGCAGTGTTTGCGTGGGTTACCCTTGGGGCCTCTATTGCACTGGCCGGAACAGAGGCACTCATGGCCATCGTCATCCGATGGCAGCCATCATATGAAGCCCAAAGCTGGCACTATTTTCTGGTATATCAACTGCTGAATGCAGTAATGGTCATCTACAACATCTTCCTAACCAACAAGACTCTCTGGGTATACAATTTAGGGTGTTAGTTAGCCCCCTGCCAATTCACACGAGGCAATACTAATATCTTGCTTCTCCTCGCACAGTCATTCTATCCATTTCAACATTCCTTGCCATTATTATAGCCTGTCCTGTACGCTCCTCCGCACATGTCAACACCTCAAAGACTTGGAGTCAGTTCGTCAACGGCTCAGGCGGCTGGCCGGACGGCATCTCCTTCTTGACGGGGCTTTCCACGCCTCAGTTCATGTTTTCCGGACTCGACGCAGCACTACACCTTGCAGAGGAATGTCTCGAGCCTGCTCGTATCGTACCAAAGGCTCTGCTTGTCACAGTGATCGTGGGGCTCCTGACAGGGTTCCCCTTTGCCATTGCCATCCTATACAGCTATGATAATATTGAAGCATCCCTAACCACACCGACAGGGTACGTATACGCCCCAGATTCATGTACAGAGTGAAATATTAACGTGGAAATGTGCCCAGATTTCCTATCTACTTCATCTGGGAAAAGGCCACCCGCTCCCCAACAGCTGCAACAGTCTTCATGGCTGCACTGTTCGTCGTTTCTTTCGTTGCACTAAACGCAGTGCATCAGACCGCCTCCCGGCTTACATGGTCCTTTGCTCGTGATGACGCTCTGTTTTTCTCCTCTCGTCTCTCCTCTATACATCCTACCCTCGGAGTTCCCGTTTGGGCCATTCTTCTGGATGGCGCAGCAGTGCTACTAGTCGGGATTGTCTATGTCTGCTCGACAACTGGTGAGCCTTCCTTTACCCACGCATACACGAAATAAAAGGGAGAGTTTGGTTTTGACACACAGCAATAATAGCATTCAACGCCTTCATCAGCACCACCGTCGTGGTAGCCCAAATCTCCTACGCCATCCCAGCTCTTCTTCTCCTCTTCGGCGGGCGGAGTCAGCAGTACCTTCCCCCAGATCGCCCATTCAAGGTGCCCAATATGCTCGGATATGTTTGTAACGTTGTCTGCGTTATCTGGGCTATCATCCTGACGATTTTCTTTTGCTTTCCCACGGAATTTCCCGTTACGGGGAGTAACATGAGTACGTGTTTCCCTTTTTCCCCCTATTATCTATCTGCTTTGTGATGATGCAGGTGATTTGCTAACGCGTATATAACGTTCAGACTACGCTTCAGTAGTGCTAGTCGTCATGTTGATCCTAGGTGTAGGGAACTGGTTTGCTTACGCGAAAAGGCATTATCATGGGCCACGATTGGATATTTAGTCTTGGTGAAGGACACTTTGATTGATGATTGATGACTAGCTCCAATTGAATATTTTCATTGCAAAGGATAATTCACAGTAGTTGTTCTTTAAAATCATGTCATAATCCGGGGCAGTATCATTATATAGATAAGGGTTTCATATAAATGCCCACTTTCATCAACAGGGATTATATATCCTTCACCTTTACTCACACGAGGAAGCACCTACCTAGGAAAATACCAAAGATCCATCATAGTGATGTGATATACATACCGTCGGAACGATTCCGAGCCCAACCGTTCGGTAAGTGGGGAGGAAGGATCATTGGACGGGGATGAATTATGTGTTGGATGGTACTCCGCACTCCCCGGCCAATTGATCCAATCTAATCCGATAAGATAGATAATGATTATCTAGTCTCAAGTGCGTTTTGTTATTACCGTGAGGATGCGGTAGTTATCGCTTATCGGCTTCCTTGCGGGAATGGGACTATTATTGAGGGGGGTTATCTACGAAGAAGAGAAATGTTGTTGGGTCTTGGTGGTTTCGTCGTGTGCTGTATGAATAGCAAATTGATTCTTATCAACACCAGCCAAGAACAGTTGGTATGGATAGGAATATCATTCATAGCTACAACTCCACGACGACAACAAGAGGTTATTGTAGTAAAAGCTAATACCATGCATTATCGGTAGAATACCACAAGAATAAACCAGTCACTGTTTCTCATTCTGAAAGAATGAATAGTATCTCCAAACGAGCTCCTGTGCTTGGAGCAGCTTGCCATCTGCTACCTATCTTATTGTACAGATTCCCGCTAAACGCTGCTTTTCTCAGAATTACACAACTGCGGATATAGTTCCCTGCCTGGTAGTTCTAATACTGAATTTCGTAGTTTGTAACAAAGATGATGCTTCTTATGCTCTTTCTTCTCCAGGATTGGGGGGGATTGCTTTGCTGACGTAACTCCATTGCCGGATAGTGGGCTGTCTCTGTAAACGGGGAGTTGCATGCTGCCATCAGTATGCACTTGTATGAGGGGGAGGAAGTAGTGGAGTTGAAAGAGTTGAATGTTGATACGGTATTTCTTTCACTTCTATAGGCTCGCAGCGGTGTGACAGGGCTGTGAGTGAGTATTCACGTGATGGGAGTGGGGATGAAATAAGGTAGATGTCTCGGTGTAAGAATCCGGAGAGATATGATGAAGACTATGTTTTCAATGAGTTTATTTTAGAGTAGCGGTGCTTTCTCCTTTCTACTACATGTATATTCCCACTTTGACTGATAGCAAACTGAACAATAAGCTAGATCTATCCACCTTGCTCATTGATAATGATTGAAGAACAAAACTTCAAGAAGAAAGCGTTATCATAACACTGCAGACACAGTATATACTATATGATATAATAGTTCATCGGTAATTTCCAAGACTGTAAACCAATACTACTTCAGAATACTAGCTACTACTCTTTTAAATAATAAGACAGCACGGAACTGATTAGTCTCCAATCTACCTTCCTGCCGGTCTTGCAATTCAGTACTAGCCACTATTTCTTTTATCAAAAGTGGAGCTGTCCAATGAAAGGAGCCTTGGTCAACGTATGTTACACTGAGTTCTTGGACAAGTGAGACAGAACCACCGGCTAGAGTCTTGGCCTTCACAGAATCCACGGTTTGATATAACCCGTCAGCCAAGGTTAATGCTGAGGACCAAGGCTTATATCCTTTGTAATATATTCCAAGCCCTTGACACAGCCAGGTATAACCGGAACTGTTTGCCCCCGGCTACCTCAACCTTTGCATGGAGCTTCCATTGGATATATCTCTATTCTACATATACTTTATAGCCCACAGCCAACACCCTGATTCGTACTGGTGGGTCCTCTGGTTATCTGATAAGATCATTTGCACATGTCTGAACCCCTGTGGGTATGCGCTACCCCTCATGTGGATTGAGTATGTCTCTCATGGCTGGATCTTTTTAGTAATGATATGCTGATATGAGAGCTTCTTACGACTTAGTGATCTTTCTTGGATTTCACCTTTTCTTGGCCCTATGTATCTCTCAACGGGTTCTTGAAGATGTGAAGATACCAATCACGATTTCATTGTTTGGAAATTCGATGAGGCCGTTGAGCACCATGCTCAGCCCTTGGAGAGTCTCAACTGCCTGTCTTTCGGCATTTCAAGAAAGCACTTTCAGTTATATCGATGGAGAACCCTGAATAATCATTTGAATTAGCTAGTTCTTCAACAAGCCGCAATAGCCCATCACTTAATATCGAACAGGCTAAGAGCTAATGTTAGTAGGGGAATGACATCGGGACATACACTCCCACCATCCATCTCTTATAATCAGAGGGGAAGGGGCATTCCAAAGCGGTTAGCTATAAATTGGACCTGAACTTCAGCTCAGAGTTCACACATGTTGCTCACAATGACACTCACCTTCCCACATCCCACCCATTGCACACGCGACCCGTTCACTACCCCAATTAACAACAATGAAGACCTGGGTCTTCTTCCTCGCAGCGTTCGCAGCTGTCGCCAACGCCACTTCCGTCAACTTGAATCACGAGCGCGAAGCCAGCATTAACACACCCATTGAGGGACTGGAGAAGCGCTGTGTTGGCGGTAGTCCATCCCCTTTCTTTTGAACATTGCCTACTCCGGCATCGAAGGACATAAACGCTGACTTGAGATATGACAGCGGGGCTCCCGTGCACTACCGGCTCTGATTGCTGCAGTAGCGCTTGCCGTAAGCTCACCGGGCGCTGCCTTGGTCCTTAAGTTGAAGCCTAGGTTGGTAGGATGCATACTTCCTGTCACCGGTGTCCGTAAGATATACTGACTGGCTTTCTAGTTTAGAGTGAAGAGCTCGACACGGACTGAGCTTGTTGCATTGACCTTATGGGCTATCTTTGGTTATTATTATGTGGTGGTGCTCGGATAAAAGCTAACTGAGCGCAATTAAGCAAGTATCTAGAATATGAGAACTGATACGCTTCTTGTTGCTCTTTTTGTTGCGGGCTTGCATATGAGTACAGTGGAGAACAAAAGGAAATTCAGCTGTAGTGCCTCCCATTCACGACTGTCCATTACCTCGTGTGGAAAGGCCTTAGTATACCAGATACTAGAATATATTTCTTTTCCTTAGGGACTTTTCTCCTCCAATTATATCCTGCCATATACTTCACCTCGGGGATTAATCTGTGATAAAATCTCCTTGTCAGGGCAGAAAGCCTGTGAGGGATTGTCCACTAAAGCCACAAGAATACCTCCGAAATACTCCGTCTCGCATGCCGATCATTCCACTTCTCAAAGGACTTATCTAACTGTTCTATCATATTGCTTTTTCTCTCCATTCAGCTCAGGAAATTAAATGAACTAGCGGTGAAAAAAGGGACTTACAACCAAAAATCAAATTCATAATCACTATGGACCCGAGACAGTCTCATACCTCAACTCTACTACAATTTCTTATTCTTCATGCGCACACCAATCGTGCCCGAAACCATCATGGCCGGATACTATCAACCAGTTTCAAGACTTTTTTTCATAGGCACCACGCAAACCTTGATCCCCCCAATCGTGACCATAGTTACTCCAAAGGGATCTCATCTGCGCTACCTGACCATCCTATTCATGATATGGATTTTCACATTGATGCTCTACCCTGTTGAAAAGCAACCATATATAACAACTTTATCTGCTTGCGCCGGCGGCTTCGGCATTATCACGGCTCTCGACATCCTGTTACTCAACCCCAAGCAAGCAGCAGACTTTATGAGTGGCAGTACTACCAGTAATAATAGAACAACAAACAAAATCACGCGCTTCATCTCTATCTTTCGAGCCGCCTTAGAA